GTAAATATTGAATGATGAATATTGAATTGAATATTGCAATTATTATGAATGATTGATGAACATTGAATGTGAATATAAATGTTGAATAATGCACGATGAATAATTTTTAATAATTATTGATTATCTGAACTGAACATTATGTGCATGATATCAAATGATTTGATTATGAATTTAGATTCAGTTTATATGGATGTTCGATGCATTAGATATGCTTACTCAGCTTCAACGCTGAGCGTGTAGTATGTTTTATTTGCTACACGCAGGTTAATGAAGTGACGTGATCCTGGAGGCAGACGGAGGCGAGATTGTCAGAATGGATGTGATGGTTTTGAATTAAAGAACATAAATAAATTATGTTTGTGATTATGATTGTTAAGCTTCCGCAATATTGAAAACTCCGTACTGTTTATATTATGAAAAATATTATTGTGATAAATAAAAGTGTTTGAAATGTTTTAAATTTTTACGATTACCAAGTTAATACTTTAATCTGAAAGGGGCTGTAGACCTGGACAAATTAGGGTGTTACACTTGGGATGTGTTTTTTAGATAAACACACTTGTCTGATTCATTAATTTTGAAGCTGGAGTTCATCATTACCTGGTCAAACTTCTCATGCCATACTTTTGGCGCCTGTTTAAGACCATATAATGACTTAACAAGTTTACATACTTTCTTTTCTTGACCAGGAACTATAAACCCTTCTGGTTGTTCTATGTAGATCTCTTCTTCTAGATCTTCATTAAGGAAAGTTGTTTTCACATCCATTTGATGAACTTCTAAGTTCCGCAAGGAAGCTATTGCGAGTATCATCCTAATGGAATTTATCCTAGACACAGGGGCATATGTATCAAAATAATCAAAGCCCTCACGTTGATTGTAACCCTTAATTACAAGTCTGGCTTTGTACTTATCAATAGAACCGTCTGGTTTCATTTTCCTCCGAAAGATCCACTTAGAACCTAACGGTTTGCATCCAGGAGGTAGATTCATTAACTCCCAAGTGTGATTCTGCATAATAAAATCAACTTCCTTTTTAAATGCCTCTTTCCACTTAGGTCCTTCAGACGAAGTCACTACTTCACGATAAGTTCGTGGTTCATTTTCTAATAAACATGTTAGAATATCGGGTTCAGTCTCTATCAGAAATGATAGAGTCCCGATTCAAATTCCAACAAATAAGTTAGAAAATCATTACCAAAGGACTTCTTAGTCCGTGTCCTTTTACTTCGTCTTAGTTCAGTCTCAGTTTCGGTTTCATCAATTATACCGGTATTAGACTGATCCGAGGAACCATCATTCAACATTTCATCATGTGAACGTTTGGACGAACCTGCTTCTTCCCTCAACTTTAACAGAAATATATTTTCAAAGAATGTTGCATTCCTCGATTCCATTATCGTGTTCTTATGTATTTCTAGATTATTAAACCTATACACTAAGAATCGATACGCGCTATCACTATAGCCAATAAAGATTCCATCAACGGTCTTTGGACCAATCTTTATTTTCTTTGGGGGTGGTGCTAAAACTTTTGCAAGGCACTCCCACACTTTCAGGTATTTATAGGAAGGTTTCCTATTATACCACAACTCGTAAGGAGTCTTATCAAGTTTCTTTCGGGGTATTTTATTTAACAAATAATTGCTAGATATGTAACACCCCAACCCGCGTGACCCGAATACAAGGATCAGCGGACCGGGTTGCTACTAAATTGGCATCCAAACAATAATAATTTTCAAAATAATTTAAACTTTTTAATTTAAAACAACATTTATAAATCCATCAGAGTTAACAAAACAGTGCGGAAGCCTTTAATAGTTAAATCAAAATACAACTTTGGGTTCTTGCCCTTAAAAACATTAATTAATTTAAATGCAATAATTAAACTAGATAACTCCTCCAGCCAGCATCCATCCATCCATCTTCTCTGCCCTCGCTGCCCTCCAGGATAGTTCCTCATTCATCATTCATGTTACCTACGTGTAGCAAATAGGAAAAAGGGCTACACGCTCAGCATTGAAGCTAAGTGGAACTATCTAACGTTTCGACTACGCACATAGACGAACCCACTAGCTCATAACTTCATACAATATCATGCACACAAGTATACAATATAATATCACACAACAACCATCAAATATATTCATAAGTTGCAAACCATTGCCTTATTCGTCTGTATTTATAACTGATAATTTAAGAGCTCAAACTAAAACCATACTTCCTTATTTATAACCTTATGTTCGGACTTAGAGCCACTACCTACGGCCATGACTCAAGTCTACCTTATTCAATACCTTATGACACAACACAACCTGATGACCAACGAAGGAGTTCTCCGCTGGGTGGGTGGTACCCCTGTCCCCTTCGGAATGAGAGTTTTGGATCCTGTACGTACGTTTTAACCCGCAGCCGCCAGATATCAGATCCGCAGGGCTGATCCTATCTATTGACATTTATACTTACAATTGTACCAAAGCAGTCCTAGAGTTCCTCTAGGTAACTTAGCCATTTATTTACAACATATCTACCATTCAGGCTTATTCCAACATAAATCTCTATTTCTTATTTACTTTTAAAACACAACAAGATTATATTTAATTAAAACAAGAAATATAATATGAATTAGACGCTCAATCATATAATTCAATTAGCGGTCTAGTGTCAGGTGTAAACATCTTCCACTTACCGTCATGCAACACACAAAACATCATAAACAATCTGGAATTTGAATCGGAACAAACACACGAAGAACAGTGTGCCGGTCCGGTATCCCTTACGGTACCTCGGTACCGCCAGGCGGTACTTTGGTACCGTCGGTCTGGTACCCCCGTACCGTGCGGGCGCAGGTACCGGAAGTGGCAACCATTAGTGGCGGTAGCACGGTACCATTAGGCGGTACCTAGCTACCATCTTGCGTCGGGAAGTCACCGGAACGACAGATTTCGATCCAACTCCAAACCATACAATATGTACAACGTTTTTAAAGATTATTATCATGCAAACCTACACAATTTAGAATAAGAATACCTACCTGGTCTTCCTCGTTCAATCAATATAAATAAATCATAATTCAATTATAAACAAATAAACCATGTAATCAATCATACGAAACTAGGAACGTGGATTTCAAATCTATATATATAATCTAGCGTTAGATGTGCAAGTTCTGACCTCGATTAATTGGTGAATTAAACAAAACAAGAATCAATTGGTCGGGCTTTTTCCGGCGATCCCAATGGCAACGGCGACACAGGACGACGGCGGCGGTGTCAAGTTCCTTTCTCCCGACTCTGGTCTGCGGCTGTTTTAAGGGCGACCACGATCGACGGCAGTGCGACCACGGCTGACCTTCCCCCTGTCCAAAGATCCCGGGGCGGACAGCGGCTGACAGCGAACTTCTTCCCGGTGAGACCTCCTTGGTCTAATCGCGAGTGTGAGCAATTGGACGAAACACTGATTCGGCTATGAAGGGAAGTAGGATATATCATCTATGTATATGTATATGCGTTGTGTTGGATTCCTAATTGGATTTGGAATTATTGTTATGTATAACACACACCATATGTAATTATTATTATTATTTTATATTATAAAATCTTTATATTTATTTATTGAACTTTAATGTCTATTTTACTCACCACGCTTTACACGTATATCTAAATTTGACAAATTATGTACCGTTGGTCACCATTTTACGAGATCTACCCGAAAACCAAATTTTAATTCAAAACGGACAACTTTACAAATAATTCATATTTTAGAGTAAATAAATATTATATTTATTTTTTTATTAAAATAACGGCTAACTACTAGGCTGGTTTTCCAGAAAATTACTCGCGGGTGACGCTAGTTTTGTCGAAATAACTTTCAGGTCCCTCTATTTACAAAAAGACAACCAAAGTCCTTATATTTTGTTGTAATGACTGGGAGGGGACATTTCATCCAATACATCATCCGTAAGTGTTAATAAATGTATTTTTTTCCTATTTTTCCAATACCGTTTTTTTCTATTTTGCCATTAACTTGTTTTTTCTTTTTTTAAAAAAATTTTTTCATTTCATTTGTTGTAATATAATACAAACGATTTTGAATTTTTATACGATTTTATAGAAGAAATTCTAAAATAACACTTTAAAAATAGTAACAAAATGAAAGAAAAACAAAGAAATAACAAAAGGATCGACCTAAGATTTATTACCCTAAAACATTTAGAAAAGAATAGAAAAAAATGCATTTATTAACGTTTATAGATGAAATATTGGATGAAATGTCATTACAACAAAATGTAAGGACCTGTGCTGTCTTCTTGAAAATAGAGGGACCTGAGAGTTATTTCAACAAAACTCGCGTCACCTGTGAGTAATTTTCTGCCGGTTTTCAGGTCGTTACATTTCTCCTCCCCTTAAAAGAATTTCGTCCCCGAAATTCCTTAGTCTAGCGTCTACTCAAACACTTCCACATATAATCCACACAACTAAGCACATAGGGGCACATAGCTTTTAACTAATCTTTATCAAGTCAAGTTTCGAAATGTACAATCGTAAGCGTCGCTATCCTGGGTGTTTGCGTAGTCTATCATCGCATAAGTGCGTGCTGGAGCTCTTCCTCGCTGTTGATTTGGGTTCCTCTGCTGATTTGTTCTAGCAGTCGTGCGTTGACTTTGCGTTAGCTGTGGCATGGCGGTTTGACCTCTCACTGGAGCGGTTGGGAAAGGTTCGCCAGGCTTTGTAGGGCAGTTTCTACAAATGTGTCCCGGCTTAACACAGCCCAATCAAAGGCCTTGGGTAAACAAACACTCTCCGGGATGATTTCGCCCACAAAGTTCACATGTTGGATGCCTTGACGGCTTTGACCTACTACTGGAGGCCACCGATTGGGTAGGTGCTGGTTGGACCTGCACAGACTTGCTTTTCTTCGCATGAGATGCCTCACTTGTCTCACCTAACGGCCTCTTCGCACTCGGCGTAACACTCACAGTTGGGCGTGTACTGGGTCCTCCTTCCTCGGCTTTCAGACTGGCCTTGTAATCATCAACGTCTTTCTCAGCTTTGGCCATTAGGTCATATGCTTCAGAAAAGTCCGTAGTGGTCAAGGTAGATACGTACGGTCGAATATCGGAACGTAGCCTCTTACATAATTCTTCAATGCGGTCTGCCGGCGTGGATACCAGCGTCGTCACGAACTGTGCTAAATAGTCAAACCTTTTTCGTAACTCAGGGAGGGTCATGTCTCCTTGCTTCAACTCCATGAATTCAGTGCGCTTCTCCTCTCTGAAGCGAGCTGGGATGTACTCCTTTTTGAATGCCCAATCGAAATACTCCCACGTCCAAGGCTTAGGCGCTTTCTCATCGGCGCGCTTCCACCACTCATATGCTCCCTTACGGAGGAGTTGGAATGCAAGTTCAGGACGTCTCGCGTTCAGAACACTTAGATTCTTCAGAACTCTTTCTGTTTGTTCAATCCAATCGAGTGCAACCTGGGGATCAGAGATTTTGTCCCCATAGAACTCTTCAGCACCATTGTCCTTCAACGTTTTCAACGTTATTTGCCTAGGAGGCGGTGGAGGCGGTGGCTGAAACATTGGCGCGTTCGCCATTTGCTGCAGAAATTGTGTCAGGAAGGCAGGCATAACCGGGTCCTGTTGAGCCTCCACGTTTTGGTCTCGTTTTGATTATTCGACACTTCGCTCATTCTATACAGGTCAAACTTCCCTAATTAATTACTAATACATGGTAAACAAGTAATCAAATTTTATTACCTTCCTGGGGCAGAGGAGTTGTGAGAGATGCGGATGATGCTGCTGAAGTACCTTACAAACAAATCCACACTTTTAAGTTTTTTTTTTGAAATCTTTCTTTTGATAGGGTCCGAAGACCGATTTTAAAACCACTTGCTCCGATACAAAAATGTAACACCCCAACCCGCGTGACCCGAATACAAGGATCAGCGGACCGGGTTGCTACTAAATTGGCATCCAAACAATAATAATTTTCAAAATAATTTAAACTATTTAACTTAAAACAACATTTATAAATCCATCGGAGTTAACAAAATAGTGCGGAAGCCTTTAATAGTTAAATCAAAATACAACTTTAGGTTCTTGCCCTTAAAAACATTAGTTAATTTAAATCCAATAATTAAACTAGATAACTCCTCTAGCCAGCATCCATCCATCCATCTTCTCTGCCCTCGCTTCCCTCCAAGATAGTTCCTCATTTATCATTCATGTAACCTACGTGTAGCAAATAAGAAAAAGGGCTACACGCTCAGCATTGAAGCTAAGTGGAACTATCTAACGTTTCAACTATGCACATAGATGAACCCACTAGCTCATAACTTCATACAATATCATGCACACAAGTATACAATATAATATCACATAACAACCATCAAATATATTCATAAGTTGCAAACCATTGCCTTATTCGTCTGTATTTATAACTCATAATTTAAGAGCTCAAACTAAAACCATACTTCCTTATTTACAACCTTATGTTCGGACTTAGAGCCACTACCTACGGCCATGACTCAAGTCTACCTTATTCAATACCTTATGACACAACACAAACTGATGACCAACGAAGGAGTTCTCCCGTACGTACGTTTTAACCCGCAGCCGCCAGATATTAGATCCGCAGGGCTGATTCTATCTATTGACATTTATACTTACAATTGTGCCAAAGCAGTCCTAGAGTTCCTCTAGGTAACTTAGCCATTTATTTACAACATATCTACCATTCACGCTTATTCCAACATAAATCTCTATTTCTTATTTACTTTTAAAACATAACAAGATTATATTTAATTATAACAAGAAAAATAATATGAATCAGACGCTCAATCATATAATTCAATTAGCAGTCTAGTGTCAGGTGTAAACATCTTCCACTTACTATCATGCAACACACAAAACATCATAAACAATCTGGAAATTGAATTGGAACAAACAGACAAAGAACTGACCGAACAGTCTGCCGGACAACTTTACAAATAATTTATATTTATTTATTGAACGGTAATGTCTATTTTACTCACCACGCTTTACACGTATATCTAAATTTGACAAATTATGTACCGTTGGTCACCATTTTACGAGATCTACCCGAAAACCAAATTTTAATTCAAAACGGACAACTTTACAAATAATTCATATTTTAGAGTAAATAAATATTATATTTATTTTTTTATTAAAATAACGGCTAACTACTAGGCCGGTTTTCGGGTCGTTACAAGATAAAATAGCCTCCCCCCACATATTTTGGGGTAGCATCGAACTGAGCAACACCGCATTCATCATATCTTTGAGAGTGCGATTTTTTTTTTCCGCCACACCATTTGATTGGGGTGTGTATTGCGGAGTTACCTGATGCACAATTCCATGTTGTGCACACAATTCGGCGAATGGAGCTTCGTACTCCCCGCCCCTATCACTCCTAATCGCTTTAATTTTGCGATTGAGTTGATTTTCGACTTTATTCTTATACCGAATGAAAGTGTCCAACGCCTCATCTTTACTTTTAAGTAAATAAATATAGCAATACTTCGTGCTATCATCGACAAAAGTGATAACATCTTTGTTACCACCTCTTGAAGGCGTTGCTTTGAAATCACACAGATCCGTGTGAATTAAATCCAGTGGCTGAGTGGTTCGTTCAATTGTTTGAAACAAACTTCATGTTGACTTTGGTTCGACACACGTCTCACATTTGTGGGACAAGTCGATGTCACACTTAGGGATATATTCCATGTTAATTAATTTTCGAAGAGACGCATAATTAACATGTCCTAGTCTTCCATGCCACACATTGGAAGACTCACAAACATAGGCAATAGGAGTTTTATTAATTTTCTCAACAATAGTGAGTACATTAAGCTTAAAAAGCCCATTAGAAATATAACCTTTGCCTATGAATATTCCCTTTTCGCTCAAGATCAGCTTATCAGACTCGAACACCATGCGGAATCCATGTTTGTTCAGTAGTGAGCCTGATACCAAGTTTTTCCGTATGTCTGGCAAATACAACACATCATTCAGCGTGAGCTCCTTGGCAGATGTCATCTTGAGCTTAACTTTGCCCACGCCTTGAACCTCGGATTGAGCGGAGTTGCCCATCCACACCTTGTCGCCAGAAGTCAAAGAGCATGGCCCGATTGGAGCAGATAGGACGAGTGGCTCCGGTGTCAAACCACCACTCTTTCGGGTTAGACACGACCAGGTTGACCTCTGTCACGACAGCACAAAGATCCATAGCATCTAGCTCCGAGAAGAAAGCTTCTTCCTTCTTCTGCTTTTTCTTCTTAGGCTTCTTGCGGCACTCTGAAGAACGGTGGCCCGTAATACCACAGTTGTAGCATTTCCCCGCGAACTTAGTCTTCGCGACGCCTCCTATAGGACCAATTTTCTTCTTGTCCTTATTTGGCTTGGGCCATTTGGAAGAACCCTCTTTGGGTGGATGCTCCACCACATTGGCCTTAGCAACAACTACTTTCTTCTCGCGAGTGAGACCCTCTTCACGGATCCGGAGACGAACAAACAACTATTCTAAAGTCATCTCTTTCTGTTTGAGCTTGACATAGCTCCGGAACTCACCCCAAGCCGGCAGGAGCACATGATTAATCACCGCCACTTGAAATGCCTCACTGACTCCCATTCCCTCGTCAGTGCACTCATTAAAAATGAGGATCCATTCTTCAGCTTGACTGACCACGGATTTGGAATCCACCATCTTAAAATCCAAAACCTTACCAACAACGAATTTCTTTGCACCGGCGTCCTCGGCCTAGTATTTGTTGGACAATGTAGTCCATAACTCCTTTGCGGATGCAATCCTACTATAAACAGCATATAAGGCATCACTCAAGCAATTCAGGATAAGGTTAAGGCACGTATAGTTATTCGCTATCCATGCCTCTTTAGCCTGAACTGTTGGCTCGTCCGCGTTCTCCCCCACAATAGGGGGATCCTCCCTCAAGTACCTCGCAAGGTTGACGGTGGTCAGCCAAAATAACATCCTTTGCTACCATATTTTAAAGCCAACACGTGTGAACTTTGTCGGTTCTTTGACAGAGTTCGCATGCAGCATGATAGTAGGATGTCCGACCGGTGCAGATGTGAAGACACCCGTGTTCGGTCCATGTGAGGGAATGACTGGTATGGCCGAAGCCATATTCAGTCCAAGTGGGGTGACCATTGCGGCCGTAGCCGCGGTTGGTCCAATAACCAAGGTGACCGGAGCGGACCCCATAGTAGCGTTCGATCCAACGAAGGTGGTGATCGAAGTGGACCCCACGGCCACACTCGATCCAAAAGGAACGTTGATCGGAGTGGTCTGCCCAACAGAGCCACCCAATCCAGCCGAAATGTTCACAATTGTTGGAAAACATTTTCACTTTGACGTTTTGCTAATGACAAGGTTTGTTTCTGTTTAGATTTTGATATTGACAAACCGTTGGAAACATGGAACAAAATGAAAAGATTCTAAGAGATAGAAAAAGTTCTTTTAAGGAACAAAAAGCACAAGAAAGGCATTGACATTTCTAAAGACGACGACATTGGCGTTTTGAAGATGTTGTCTAAAGACTTAGGCTTTTATTGTAACAACCTCATTCAACTTCTCTACGTCATGGCTCAAAACTAAATATGTTTTTCATGCATCAAATGAGTTTTTTCATAAATGGTTTTATGTTTCTAAAACCCCTGGTTCTTGCCCAACCAAAACCATAACCATCGGTTATCGGCGTTCGGCTATGGCGCTCGGTTTTCGGCATGGGTTATTGGCATTGATTTTAGCCAAATGGTTTTTGGGTTTTTATCCTTGGTTTATGCTTCTGGACACATTTAAAGGTTTTCCAAATCATTAGTTTTCAAAAACCATAACCTTTGTTTTTTTGGTGTTAGTTATCGGCATTCGGTGCTGGTTATCGGCGTTGGTTTTTGGCGCCCAAATCAATCAAGTTGTTTTTAATATTTTATAATTGGTTTTTACTTCTGGACATATCCAAATAGTTCTCCAACAAAAACATGTTAAAAACCACCTCTCGTTTTTGGTCTTTTGGTGAAAACCATGTGAAACGACATAAACTTGGCTAGCCGTGGTTTTTACCTTAATGAAGTGGTTTTTAAGTTTTTATACTTGTTTTCTACATAAAATACATTATATAAGAGTTTCCAACACTTTGTTTTCATTTTGGAGAACTTTGGTTTTTGACATCGGTTTTCGGCGTTGGCTGCCAAACCATGGTTCTGGCGACCAGGCCCAACATAGATATTGGATTTTGAACATAGATGTCGGAACAATGATGTTGGGATTTGGACATCGATGTCTGAACAGCGATGTTGGGATTTGAACATCTATGTTTTGGCCAGGTTGGCTCACGTCAGTCTAGGGAGTAGGTTTTTGAACAACGATGTTCATTGTTGAACAGCGATGTTTTCAAATGACCGTTGGGCTATTTAAGAAAAACTCTTTCCATTTTTGAAAGTCAATCACCCCAAAATCAATGTAGACTTCTAGACATCGATGTTTTGATGACCGTTAGCCATTTTTAAAGGAAAGTCAAAGCCAAAACAGCGATGTTCAGTATATGAACAGCGATGTTAGGCTAAAATTCTATAGACCAACTTTAATTTGATTTCCACAAATCATGCCATTAAACCCCAATTAACTCCCATCCGTTACACATCATTTTTGGGTATAAATAGGGGTCTTTTGGGTCTACTTTTCACAACCATTCCTCACACATTTCATAGCTTTACATTGCATCATTCCATAAACTTTTTACATAGCTTTTTAGAGCCATTTCTTGAGGAATTGAGTGTGTTCTTGATCTAAATTAGTTTACTCATATTCTACTCTTTAAGAGAGTTCTTGTTCTTGAGTGGTTAAGTGTTGTGAACACTTTAAGGGAGGTTTGTTCCCTTGGTTGTACGAAGGAAGGGCATATTCCTTCGGGTTGAAGTCTTGGAGTGCGGTATCTCCGAGCAACTATATTGAGGCTTGTGGGACTCGAGTTCTCAGGTAGTGTAGCTCGAGAGAATCTCTCGGGAGGCTGGACTAGCCACACGTTGTGGTGAACCAGGGTAAAATCAGTGTGTTCTTTCTTTACGCTTTTTATTCTGCTCTTTACTTTATCCTGCGATTTTTATTCCACGAAAATTTATAAACATTCTCGTGCGTCACTATTCACCCCCCCTCTAGTGAAGGGCACTTATTCTAACAACAATCGGAGTCTCGGAACTACTCCCGTTTCCGGTGTGAGCGTCAAAACTGAATCCGTCTATACTCGCCATCGTGCACGGATATGACTACTACCTTAAGATTGTTACAATTCTCGTACGGATTACAACGGACGGGGAAGATGAACGGCCCCAGAATATTAAGCACTGGACAGCGAGGACATTAAGAACTAGGACAGAATGTAGTGAGGTCTTTATGAACTAATCCTGCAAACAAAACACCACGGAAGGACAGCGGAGTCGCTGGAGCTTTCCTTAAGGTAGTAGTGCCCGCCTGCCGTACCGGAAAAACATGGGCGCTCTCCTCCCAGGATAAAACCCTATCGTGTGTGTAGATTGTACGGACCAACCACACACCAACGAACAAGAACAACGTAGGAACGTTGGTGACCAAAAACTTTAAAGGGGATGGCCAGAAATTTGGCCAGAAAATCAAGAGCTCTCTCTAAAAATTAAACAAGAAAGTTTTCCCTTTCTTTTTCTTTCTTTCTCACACATTAAGCACTCAAGAAAATGGAGAGAGCCTTTGATTTTATAACCAAGCCATTTAAAAATGTAACTCCTACACCATTAATCCATGGCATTTGTGGCACACTTAATACCCTGTTAATGGTGATTAATTAGCCATTAACATGTCCGTTACACTACGCTCTGTTTAAAATTTATCCCGAATAATTGGAGATTAATGGCTAGTTAACTCCATAAAAATGGACTAATTTTAAACAATACGTACAATTAATAATAGAAGATTGGTTCAGTAAAATTGCAAAATTGCCATCCTTACCATATTCTTCTATTAACGGGTTAACTCTGAGAATCAGTTTCTCATTCACCCTCTACCATTTTTGGCATATAAATATATCAAAACATTTATCTCATTTAAGAGAACACACGTCCATTAATTAACGGTTAAAACCGTTAGTGGACCTATTGACAAATATATCCAAGTTGGTCAATTTAATGCCTATTAAAATGCCAAAAATTCCAACATAACAACACTTTGTTCTCTAATATGTGATAGAACAGAATTGGCATTTTAGCTTGTGAGACTTCTAAAAGCTTCATTGTGCAATTCTTTAATTAGGACATCTAAGGCATAGCCTCTTTGAATGGAACTAGGTTAATAACATAAGTTGAAAAATCAATATGCCTAGAAAGATTTAGTAGAGTATTATGACTTATCATAGTGGAGGGAATAAAGATTAGATCATAAGCTCTTTTATGGTTTTTTCATTAAACTCTTGTTTTAGTATTCTCTTACTCAATCATATTGAATAATTTCATACTAAAACTCTCTTGGTATTTATGTTATAGTCTCATACGTTCAAGGCGTATGATCTATTGGTCAACAACATAATCATCTCAATTTGAAGAACAACATTTGTTCCTTAACTGAAAACTGAAAAGAATTCTTGTCATAATAAGACTCATAAATGATTGTTTCAATTGTTGAGGTACTTTACAAACAATTCTCTAATTGTAGCACCACTCCAATAAGTATGGTTGAGTTATCCTTGCACAAGGCCAAAAATCCAACACTTGGTCCATCGTGTGCTTCAACTATTTTCCTTTGGTTAATAGTCTATAATAATGCAACACTTGCTTAATGGTACGGATGTGAGACCCATGTCTCGTTATCTAGTACCTATTTCATAAATGTAGACTAATCTACCTCTATAACTAAATACTCAACTTGGAAGTCACACCTCCTTTTGATCTTTCTTATAGATATTCATGAGGTCTTTCTTCTATTAGCGAGCTTGCCATAATAGAAGTTCGAGGTATGGGCTTGGAAGATGAAGAAGTAGTTTAGGATATGAGCCTGCTAGCGCTTACATCCTTGCCACCGACCCATTTGTTGGTCCCTACTTCTTCTTCTCGTCCTTCTTATTGATTTTAATCAACTATTCTTACTGATCTTGTCATTTACCGAGCATACATGTGACAAGAAGACCAATCATGTCTAGCAACATTTTGCTAAAAGGTCTATAGCCAACGTTTGGTGCATAGGAATCCCATTGTCTCAAGCTTTGATTATCTTGAGAGTAACCAACCTAAATGGGAATCTCCTTCGTAAATTATAGTTGAGAAGAATCTTAAGATTTTGAATTATGCATGCGTGCTCTCGCTAGAGTTATATTAGGTGTAGATCAAATCTTCCTTTTTAAACATTCTTTGCACTTCTAACAAAAGAAGTCATTGAATTGAGCATGATTTATTCTAAATCTTTAATGTTTCAAAAACATTTTACTCCTCAAAGACATACAACTTATTTTTCAAAATTTAAGAACGCTTTCTCAATTTTATGGTTTGATATTAGGAGTTACATTTAATTTGTAGAATTAGGTTACATATCTATAGATGAGTTGCAAAATAGATATTATCAAGAATATAGGTAATTAATTAGGTCTTTAATTTAAAACTCTCCCACTATTTTAACAAATCAACTACCCTCAAGTATGTAACCTGTTGATTCGAGACTTCTCCTAAAGATATATCTTAGTGGGCCAAGGTCTATATTACATTTAACTATAGTTGTACTTTGCATTTTGCCCTATAGTTAAACTAATTAGGTAGGAACTAATTTGGTTTGTTAGGTTCTTCTAAATAAAATTCTATATTGGGCCTAGATCCTTATTTCATATAACTATAGTTGTGCTTTGCATCTCGCCCTATAATTGAACTATTTCAGGTAGGAACTATTTCCAATTGTAACATTTTACAACTCTAGGGTAGATGAATTTGATATTATTTATTAACCTAACCATGTGCCTCTAAGTTATTCATCTTTTTACCTTAACTTAGTTAAATCCAACCCGGGGCGTACTCACTATCCATTGTTACGGATTTCGCGCCATACCAATGTAAACTAGGCGTCCCACTTTGGCGTGTCCGTTGATTGGTCGAAACTGGTATCGACGAGTGAATAAGCGTCGGAAGGCACAAACTTAATATTACGAGGGATTTTAAATGTGGTCTCACCTATGACATGTGCCGCGCACATACACAAGTGAAAATCATACAAGCATACATTCAAACATACAAACATGTATAATGAATAAAGCGTGACATGGTTGTGGCCCCCTAAACAACTAACACTAAAACCTTCACTTGAGATCTCTATCTCCAGCTTCACCTTCTTTCTTTAAGAGTGCTTTAGCCTTTAAATTCAGCCCTTTCTTGCTAATGTCCTCTTCTTCTTGGCTCTTTTATTTTCCTTACTTTTTCATGGACTTCTTTGTTTAATCGAGAGAAAAGAATCCTTGCTTTGTAAGCAAGGGTATGAGATTTAAGAAGAGATTTACAACCAGAATTTAGAGATGAGGCACAACACGCCGACCGTATTTAAAAACATACTTTCTAAGCCACAATCATGCACTATGCAAACATTCATACATCACATGCATAAAATCCATACATCGGGCAAGCCGCGCTCGCCCTAGACCTAGTTTATTCTAAGAAAAATAAATTACAAGCCTAAAAATTATGAAATAATTTTACTTAAATTTATTGTATAACTCCAGAATATCCAAAGTTTAATTTTGAATTTTCCTGAATTTTAAAACAATTATTGCCATAAATATAGGTATTAATTTCGAAATTGGGATTTTAATTCTAAATAAACACTTATACCTTTTGAAAATTAATAAATAAATTCCATAATGTGTATTCGGATTTAATAAGTCTGAAAATAAAATTTCCAGAGTTTATAAAATTTACTTTCGAAATTCTTTATTTAAATAGTCTAAATCCGACTTTAATTTTTGAAAACTTAATTTCGACTTTAAAAAAATTAATATTTTCCAAAATCATTTTGTTTTAATCAGTATTTTTCTGAAAATAAAATTGTAAGATTTAAATAAATTGTATTTTCGGTATTTTGGAATTTGTTTCCAAAATAGTTAAATTAATTTACAAAATTAATTCAAAATATTCCAAATATTCCAAAAATCATTATTTTCCAAAAATATAGTTCTTGACTCATATACAATCTGAAAATTAAATTTCCATATTTTTTGTAAATTTTATTTTAGGTACTTTCTATTTATTATTTGGTAATCCATAAAACAATTTATTAAATTATTTTTCGTGCATCATAATTATTCCAAAAATAATTATTCTCAGAAGTTTATGATATTATTAACAAATATTAAATTTCCTTAATTTAAAATTAATTATTTAATTTTCGGGAATTAATTACCAAATTACCAAAACTTTTTTTCCAAGAATTATAATTCCGAATTTTAATTGTCCTTTTCGATTTAATCTATATTAACACGAAATAAGATTATTTTAAATCGAAAAAATAGAAAATTAAAACCGAAAATTTATTTTAATTTTTCAGTGTACTTAAAATCAAATTTTAACATCCCCGAATGTTAAAGCATCTGTCTTCCACTTCTCACTTCATTATCAGTAGGCACCTAAGCAATGTTGTACCAAGTTGAAACTGATGGGATAATACCCCATGGGCCTAAGGAAAGATATTGGGCCTGCCCACAAGAGAAGCCCGCTAGGGAACCCTAACCCTAGGCTCCTGTCTTGAAGCTATATAAGATGCACAAATCCAAGAAGAAGGGAGGACACCCTCTACATTCCATACATATTGTATTCTCTCCGTTCATCATCTTCTTCTCGAAGGAGCTTCGAGCTCCATCAATGGCTATCTGTTG